TCTTTCTTAAGTAATTTTACTATCTTTTGCTCTCACTTGATGTCTTCACATTGAGAACTTTGGTTTCTTCCTCCTGTCCTGGGAGCTCAGCAGATTGGCCTGTGGCACCCCTTTGTTCTCCGCGGGCTCCCGCACTGCTCCAGCCTGTTGCCCGGGTCGGCGCCGCCCAGGAAGCAGCCCCCGGCCTTGGCTCCGTTGCCTGCGCTCAGAGGTCAATGGCTCAGGGGCACCCCCCCCCCCTGGGGGCCCTGTCGCCCGGCTCCCTACCGGCGCCCAGCTGGCCGGTGTCCGGCAGGGGCTCCTGCTCCCCGTCGCATTCCTCCAGTCTGGAGCTTTTTTTTTTTTTTTTTCTCCTTTCTGCTAGGGGAGTCCAGGATCAGAGTCCACAGACTGTCCTCTGCGCGCTGTGTGCACGACTCTGGGGGCTCCGCTTTTCGCCACTCCCCTGGGATTCCGCCTCACAGCCCTGTCTCCCCCTGCCCGAGCCTGGGTCCCCAGGGTCTGGTCCAGGACTGGGGTTCAGAGCAGTCCGGACTGAGGCTCAGCGCCGCCGGAGGCTTTGTTTCTTCACGCTAGGGTAATCCAGCATCAAAGTCAACATTCAGTCCTCTGCGCACAATGTGCGTGTGACTCTGGGGGCCCTGCTTTTCGCTGCTCGCTTGGGATTCCTCCTCACAGCCCCATCTCCCCCGCCGGAGCCTGGGTCCCCAGGGTCTGACTCATAACTGGGGGTCAGCGCTGCCGGTTCAGGCGTTTAGCCCAGGCTGGGGGTTTTATTTCCTTCCTGCTAGGGAACGCCAGGCAGCACCCAGCCCTCTCCTCCTCTCCGGCTGCGACCTCTCCACGCGCGCGTGCGTGCGAGCGCGCAGCATGTCTCCGTACCTTAGGCTTTTTTTCAGCTCCTCTGATTTTCCTTCTGGTTTTCTCTTTCCTTCTTGTTGTAGAATTTTCAGTCAGTTGACTACCTGTAGCTCTGGGCGATGTCCACTCTACATTTTAGTTGTATTCCATTGAAATTGTTGTGTGCTGCTGCGGTTAGGTGTCTACCCGAGCAGCCATCTTGGATCCTCCCAAGGAGGGCCTATTTTTTAGGTCAGGTAGTCTAGCATTCCAATTAAGCCTGGTAAAGGGTCCTAGTTTTGTTATATAATTTACAAAACAGATGCTTAAGGAAAAAATAATGTCAATCTTCAAGCCCCATCACTCCTCCAGATATCAATGCTAAAACTTGGAATGTATTCTCACATACCTTTCTCCATGCTGATACAAATAGATAACAACCAATAGGTTTTGTGTTCAATTTATTTTTATAGACGTGGGATCACATATCACAGTGCAGATGAGAATCCTGTTGTGAATAATCCCAATCCTTGCAAAAACCCCTAAGCAATAGGACTAGAAAGACCCAATTAAAATTTTTTAAAATTTAGCACCCCTATGTTCATTGCAGTATTATTCACAGTGGCCAAGATATGGAAACAACCCAAGTGTCCGGTGATAGAAAGACCCAAGTTTGAAAGAATCCCCTTGCAGGTGAGTCATGTGGTGACATCTCTGCCAGAGGCAGAGAAATGTGAAAGGAACGTAGGGCACCAAGTGTAATCTCCTTTGAGAGTCTCAGGTGTGGGGAGAACTCTCTACTTTAGGCTGGCTTTGACCCCAGGGGTGTTTCCAGGGGCCCTTGTGATGTGACGTCATTTTCTTCCTTCTCCAGGTAAGGGCTCTAGTTACAGTTGTGTGCTTCAAACAACTGGAGCATATAGAGTCCATGGATTTCTTCAGAACATATTTCTAGCCAGAGAATTTACATTGCATAACACAAAGAGAAAACATTTCTAAATTTTTATTAAAATGGGCAATTCTAACAAGAATTGGAAACCTTAAGTCTTGGTGGGTTGAGTTCCAGTGTCAGGACTCCAGGCTGGGGATGTCACTGAAGGAGGCTTTTAGATCACACTACTGCTCTTACTTGGCACTGGCACTCTTCCAGACTGGCTCTCCCTAGAAGTCCAAATTAATAGCAGTACATTTTAATTAGAAAAAATTAGAATTTGTCTTTGAGTGGAGAGCACACGGTGCAATATACTGATGTTGTAACATAGAAACCCACACCTGAGCCGAGACCGGTTTGGCTCAATGGATAGAGGGTCGGCTTGGGGACTGAAGGGTCCCGGGTTTGATTCCGGTCAAGGGCATGTACCTTGGTTTCGGGCATATCACCAGTAGGGGGTGTGCAAGAGGCAGCTGATCGATGACTCTCTCTCATCGATGTTTCTAACTATCTCTCTTCCTTCCTCTCTGTACAAAATCAATAAAATATATTAAAAAAAAAAAAAGAAAGAAACCCACACCTGAAACCTATATGTTCATATTGGCCAATGTCACTTCAATCCTATCTAATAAAAGGGTAATATGCAAATTAACCATCACTCCATCACAAAAGATGGTGATGCCCATAGTGGTTGGGGCACTGGACGCTGGTGGCTTCTTCCCGGAGACCAGCCCCAGTGTCCTGCATGCCCTGGCCCGCGGACGGCAGATTGGTGGGCCTCTGGCCAGAGGCCAGCCAAAGTGCGGGATACTGGTGTTGTTGCAGGCCGGGCTGAGGCCTCTTGCCCCTTTCTTGTGCACAAATTTCATGCACTGGGCCTCTAATACATTTAGTTAAAAAAAAAAAAAGTAGATACAAAAAATGCTTAAAGAAAAGCTAAAAAGGAAGAAAGTCTAAGGCAGTGGTTCTCAGCATCAGTATTACCTAGGGACCTTAAAAAAAAAATCCCTATACACAGGCCTTATGCTAGACCAATTAAATTAGTACCTTTGGGGGTGGGACTCAGGCCCAGGTCGTTGCTAAGTTGCCCAGGTGATTGCCTGTGCAGCTAAAGATGGGAGTCACTGCTTACTGACCAATATTCTCAGCCAGCTGCCAGGCTGGATCCTCAGGGCTGGAATCAACCCAGATGACTGACAGCTGGTGCAGGAGTTCAGTGCTCAGAGATCTCTGGGCAGAGAAGACTTTGGGCCCCACCCTTTAGCTCAGTGGTGAACAAGCTCTCCTGTGCCACAGCCAACTCATAAGATCGAAAATATATCTATGGGCTGCTTTATTTTTCTTTTCCAAATGAAACAACTTGATGGAGGCCCAGAAAAATTAGTGTTACAATTTAAGATAATAGAAGACTCTGAAAACCAGCAACTCTTTATTACTATTACTTAAAATACCAAGCTGGTTTTTTTTTTTTTTTTTTTTTTTTTTTTTTCTGAATAAAGCTTGTTTCCATTTGGTCTAATGCATGGGAGAAGGCTTCAAGGTAGTTAAAAAAAAAAAAATAGCTAGCAGTTTCGGGAAGAGGTTTAGGAAAAAGCCAGACACCAGGGCGGTGCAGAGGGGCCCCTCAAAGGCCTCTGGGCTCCAGAGGGCCTTTCACCTTCTCACCCTGGAAGTGGTTCTCCAGGAAGTCACAGAGCTGAGGGTCTGCACAGGTGGAACCCAGGCCTGCAGCTCCCAAAGGGCCTGGCTCAGGTTCCTCTCCAAGGCCAGGGCAGCTTCCATGGGCCCTGAGTTTTGCCCACTCATCTTGGGAAGGCTTCAGCATGTTCTAGAGAGAATGTGTCCACCGTTCTGGTTTTTCAACTTTAAGAGATGCTCGGAGGCCTCATGCTTCTTCTCTGCCAACTCAGAGAAGAAGTGGCCCCACCCTCCAGAGCCACATCAGCCGGAGGGAGGGAAGGCCCTCAGATGCAGGCTGGCCAGGCGGTTGACTGCAGCCTCCACCCAGTTGGAATAATTCTGATGAATTTGGGAGCTCATGGTTGTTAATAAGGAGCTAAGGTAGGAAAAAACATTATGTTGGCTGGTCTCAGAGTTGGTTCTGGATAAGACGGTAGAGAGTGGCCAGAGGCTGGAAGAAGGGGTGTCCTGCGGTCTGTTCCATGCAAACACTGTTGAAGCAAGAAACAGATCTGGGACCATCAAGGGCACTATCTTGCTGGATATTTTTAAGAAAGTATAGACAATTGTCAGATTACATCATGGACCTTCGAGTGAAACCAGGTGGTCTGTGGGTGATTCTGGAATGCTGTTCATCTCTGCTTTAGTTTATGATTCCCTGAACACGTGCACGGATGCTAGCTAATTACTTTGATTTTTCTGAAGCTCTTTACTTTTTGGAGAATACTCTTTAGACTTGGCATTTTTCTTTTTTCTTAAGATTTATTTTTATTGATTTCAGAAAGGAAGAGGGAAACATCAATGATGAGAATCATTGATTGGCTGCCTCCTGCACACCCCACATTAGGGATTGAGCCTGCAACCTGGATATGTGCTCCGACCAGAAATTGAACCATGACTTTCTGGTTCATAGGTCAACATTCAACCACTGAGCCACACTGGGCTAGACTTGGCATTTTTCTTCATGAGACCAGTGAAAGTGATTAAAATTGGAAAAATGGCCACAGCTGGTCTGAAGAAAAACATGAGTGCAAGCATTGTGTATTCATGTGGCAAATTTGGTAAACAGAGTTTTGATGCAGTCATGGGCTCTAACAAGACCAGCAGTTGTGAAATGGAGCAGTGCTAGAATTCCAGTTGGTAACTCTGAGCAGTAACAGAAGCACTAGCTTGGATGTTGTCACACACACACACACACACACACACACACACACCCTCACATTTTCTCTCTCTCTCTCTCTCACACACACACACACACACACACACACACACACACCCGTTCCCCATCTTGTTGGCAAATCACTATATTGCTTGTCCTCTGGAGAGCACTTTGTTCACTGATAAAATAACCTGGCAATTAGACTTGGCAATTTTCTTCATGAGACCCGTAGAAGTGGTTAAAACTACAAAAAAAAAAAAAAAAAAAAAAAAAAAAAAAAAAAAAAAAAAAAAAAAAAAATCCTGGTGGGGAATATGGTTGAGGAAGAGTGAAAAGGAAAGAAACATAGCCAGGGTAGGACCTTGCTAGTGAGCAAAAAGACATATCATATGAAACAAAGTTTTAATTTTTATTTTACATATTTATACATAAAACTTTCAAGGAACCCTCTGAATCCAACAGAATGTTAATAGCACATCTAAAAATGAACTTCAGGTAGTCAACATTCACAAAATGTTGAAAACTGATTCAAATATACATATTACGGAGAGCTACAACTTCACTACGAGGCAGGCATGTATTTTTGACTTGTATAGCACCGTCATTTACAGTTCTTTAAAACTACAGTGGAGAATGAAAGTAGTCAATGGTAAAATACTGCTCCAACAGAAAACCTCTAAACAAATAAAAACTACCTTTTGGATTTTGTGATGGTGTAAGCACTGTACATTTCTGTAACAATATTTTATTAAAATGCCTGATATTTAGTGGCACAGTAAAAAAAAAAAAAAAAAAAAAAAAAAAATTAAAATAAATTAAGAAGCAAAGGCCAGGAAAGTGCCCTGCTTGAATGCTGTGGCGTGCGGTGGTCGGCTTATCTAGAGAAGAGTATTGGGCTCAGGAGTCGAGAAAAATGGAGGGAAGGCGAGGCTTCTTTGAAGCTCATGGGCTCTCGTGTGAGGGAGAGGTTTACCTTTCGGAGGAGGCTGCACGTGTTGCCCTTGGGCTCTTCCGCCAGCCCAGGGAGGCGTGGCGTGGGGGACAGAGGGCACGCTACCACATTCCAGACAAAGATCTGGGAAAGATCCACAAAGCTGCCGGCCCAGACAACCTATGGAGAGTAAAAAAAATCCTCTTGTTCAGGGAAGTGGCTTGAATGATAGAGATAAGGAAAAAAGGACCGCTCTACATCTGGCCTGCGCCGATGGCCACCCGGCAGTGGCCGCTCTCCCTCCGAGCGGACAGGAAACGCTTGTTGCACCCCTGTGACATTGACAACAAAACAGCTCTGATGAAGGCCAGACGATGTCAGGCAGAGGAATGGGGCAACTATTCTGTTAGACCATGGTGCTGATCCAAATGCAGTGGGCTCCCCACTGCGCTGTCACTGGGGTGAAAATACAGCTCTAGCAGCAAAGCTGCAGTCACACAAGGCAAGCACTGAAGCAAACATGAGGATGACCTCAAACCACTTTCACTTACTCCACAGGAAAGCAGAGCAAATGGTGGGATTTATTTATTTATTTATTTATTACTAAATAGAGGCACAAAAAGTCAATCAGATAAAAAGGAATGACCAACTAATGTAGAAGACGACCTAAAAAGTGTTCTGAAAGTAGCAATCTTGGTCTACAGGAATCTATCCAAGACAAGCATCAGGAAAAACAAACTCAAAGACAGCGAATGAGAGTTCTGAAGACGGAGGACCAGAACAGGGTTGCACAAAACTCCAGCTGGCGGACACTGTTCCTGGGCTTTCTACAAACCTGGGATTAATCGACTCCCGGCCTACGTAGGATGATGGAGACTTCAAGGTGAAGTGCTCTCTTATGAAATGGACTTTTCCTGCTCTGAATTTAATTTTGTGTAGCACTTACTCCTCAATTTAAAGTAGGGGCCTGCCTGTCACTGTTTTATGTTTTTAAGGGAAAACTTGTCTTTTCTATTGTATGATTCCTTTTACATGAAATTTCCTGAATAAGCGAATCCATAGAGACAAATCAGACAAGTGGCTGACAGTGACTGCAGTAGGGGGCATGGGGAGTGACCATTTCATGGGGATGTGGTTGCCTTTTGGGGTGGCGAAATGTTTTGGAACTAGATAGAAGTGATCATTGCACAACATTGTAAACGTACCAAAACACTACTGGATTTTTCATTTTAAAGTGGTTAATTTTATGTTTGATGAGCTTTACTCACTAAAAAAAAAAAAAAAAAAAAAAAAAAAGAAAGAATACTGCTGCCATAACAACAACCAATCAATCCAGGAAGATCATGGTACACATTTTAAAATAATCCAATGGGCTCATTCAAAACCTGCCTTCTAGTGAAAGGTTCCATTGGTAGTTTGAGACTTCCTTGTTTCTTGAAATGGGCCTGTGTTGCTGCTGCTTTCCCTTTTGGGGCTGCTTTTCCTGTGTCTTGGGGATTTGGAGTTGTGTTCTTATTTTACTTGTCTCCAGGTATCTTTTTTTTTTTTTTTTTTTTTTTAATGTTTTTAATTGATTTTAGAGAGAGAGAAAGGAGAGGAAAAGAAAGGGAGAGAGAAACATCAATGTGAGAGAGAAACATCGATTGGCTGCCTCCTGCACGTCTCCTACTAGGGATTGAGCCCACAACCCGGGCATGCGCCCTGACCCAGAATGGAACCGGACGGCACTCAACCAACTGAGCCACACCAGCCAGGGATCAAGGTATCTTTTGGTTTCTTCCTTGGTCTCATTGTTAGCCCATTCACTGTTTGGTAGCGTGTTATTTAGCCTCCATGTGTCTGTGTGTTTTTCAGTTTTTTTTTTTTTTAATTGATGGCTTGTTTCATGCCATTGTGGTTGGGGGTGGGTGGGAGGTGTGTGGAATGATTTAAATCTCTTTAAATTCATTTAAGCTTGTTTTGTGGCCAAATACGTGGTCTGTCCTACAGGGTGTTCCGTTTGCAGTTGAGGGTAACGTGTGCCCTGCAATTTTGGGGTGTAATGCTCTGAAAATGTCAATTAAATTCATCTGGTAAAATGTGGGAGAAAAAAAAAAGAGAGAAGAAGCAAAGGCCAATCACTGGACATGAAGCTTCAGACATTATCAATGAATGACTAACACTGATGCTTGTTTGTTTCTGCGCCACCTTGTACAACAGCATTTTTACAACCACAGAAGCAAAATGATGTCTAGCTTGTCCTCTGATGGGGATGGCTCCTCTTCACTTCGCAGGCATTTTCTCTGCCATGTGCTTCTGCTGACTTTCGGCATGTCTGCAAAATCAATAAACCAACTGGTTAGTGCGAAGGGGAAAGATCCAAGCTGCTTTCCAATCAGCAGCTAAAACATATACTCACAGTGAAATCAAGAAACAGATCTTAAGTCAGATGGATTTGCCTTCCTAAGTTTTTATATTCTATGCACGAGCCCTTGTATTTCATGAGCCGTTGGATTAACCTCAGACAGGTTAAAGTGCTGTGTTTAAAAAATGAGGAGTGCTAAGTCTCTGGGATCGTTTATTCAACAAATATCCCCTAGGTGCCCGGCGTGGCTGCTGACGCGGGGGGGGGGGGGGGGGGGGGGGGGGGTTTGGTGGTGAGTAGACAACAGGGTCTTTGTTCTCACGGAGTGAGTATTCCAAAGGAGAGAGAAAAGAAAGGAACAAGGAGCAAATAAGGAGTGAGCAGACAGGAAACAGGCGCTAAGCAGAGAGTCAAAACAAGGTGGGGTGACAGAAAGTAACTTCGTGATTACTTTATCTGAACACATGCATGCAGACACACATATTGGCAAGGCTCCCAATAGGAATCGGAAGCCAGCAATCTAACGTCATTCTTACAAAGCTAATGTCTTTCTAGCAAATGGTAGGCTTTTGTAGATGTATACTTTTGTATACTTTCCCCCTCAAATAGTCCAAAAGGCATGCAGTGAGGGTAGAGGTAGGATGAGGTGGAGTCTTATTATTCACCCAGCCCTACCATGGCCTTTGAGCCAAGTGTGGTCGACTTGGCACGTGGCCGGTGGAGACGGTGGGAGGAGTGGCTAAGCTGCTTCTATCATTTACAAGGGCACTAATTAACCGTCTTCTCAGAGAATGGTAGGGTCTCAAGGCTGCAAAAGACACGTGTTTTGAAGAAGGATAAGGATATTAGGAAGTTGCAAATGTGACAAGAGAAAAGCATCTCCGGGTGTGGCTCCCAGCTATACCCAAAGGATCGGGCAGTTTTGTGTGCTGCCCTCATCTGGGCGGTTAATGACGTCAAGTTTAACTCGCTGTTTTATGCAGAGTGTCTCATATCTATGGTTCGGAGAAAACAAACCACAAATACGTCCAGAAACAGGGAAGTTACAGAAGTGTCTTGCCAGTCAACAGCTCACAAATAATTGGTGATATTCACTTAACAATAAACTCAAGAAAAAGATATCCTCTTTCCTTAAAAAAAAAAAAAATGCTCTTTAATGGACCACCTCAGGGCCTTATTTATATGTATAAAAAAATCTTGATCATATTCATAAAGTAGCTCCCCCCTTAACAAATTCAGTTCAAAAAATATTTTGATACCCAGTAAGCTAAGATTCCACTATAGCTAACTGAATTCTAGTTCTTATGGCAGTTTTAAAATATGTATCTATGAGTACGTGTGCGCGCGCACGCGCACGCGCACACACACACGTATGCACACACAGAGCAAGAGTTTTGTTTTTTTCTTTCTGAGAAAGAAGGAAAGAACAGACAGGGAAATATTAAAAATTGGGTATTATTTTGAGAGATATATACAAAGGTGAAAACAGATATATACCATACAACCCAGCAATTCCATTTATGAGCACTTCCCCAAAGAAAACGAGAACACTAATTCAATGAACACCCATATGTTCAATGCAGCATTATTTGCAATACCAAGATATGGAAGCAACCTAGGTGTCCATCAATAGATGAATGGATAAAGATGTGGTACACACACGCACACACACAGAAAGGGGGGGGGGGGTAATATTATGCAGCAATAAAAAAGAATAAAATCTTGCAATCTGTGACAACATGGATGGATCTAGAAGCTATTAGGCTAAGTGAAATAAGCTGGACAGAGAAATACAAATATTATATGGTTTCACTTATATGTAGAATCTAAAAACAAAACAAACAACTAAAACAAAAATAGATGAATAGAAACAGAGACGGGAATATAGTCAACAATATTGTGATGAGTTTGCACAGTGACATATGATTACTAGAGTTGGTGGAGTGATCACATTGTAAGGTATAAAAATGTTGAATCACTATATTGTACAGAAACTGATATAACTAATATAAGATTGTGTAACAACTACGCTTAATAGTAAGTTTCAAAAATGGTGTTCTTCATTAACATTTTAAACAAAGGAGGGAGAGGGATTTCAGGCCATACAATTAAAAGGTACTCACCAGTTATTTACAGGAAAGCCCCAAACGGACTCCTTTTTATCAACAATCGTTATTGAGGACCTACTAGGTACCTGGCAGTCCCTGTCATCAGCTACGGGGATGCAGCAATGAATGAGAATGGCGCTGTCTCTGCTTTCAGAGGGTTTACAGTCAGGCAGGGACAGACAGCCGGCGATGCAGCATGGATGACTAGTCTCCACGTGGGAGTATCCTACCCCGGTGGAGAGCCGGGGGGCCAGGGAGCACGTCTCCAAAGAGGCTTCATAAAACCAGTGGTCCTCATTCCGCTGAAATCATCTGGGGAGCTTTAAAAACTCCTAAAACCCCTAAATGCCACACCACATGATGGCTGAGACCCTGGCAGCCACACGTTAGGAAGGTCCCAGGGTTCCAGTGAGCAGCCGCATCTGGAAGCCCCACAGCCACACTCTTCGGCGGCTCGGATCTGACTGCAAAGCTCTGGGACTGCTACCGTGAGGGACGTTTAAGGACCCTCCCTTTTCCCCATCAGCACAGTTAAAACCCACCAGTCAGGCAGGGACATTAAACGTCTCCCTATTGACTCCAATTTAAAGGATGCCTCCACCACCTTTAACTTAGCGACTCCTCTCCTTTGCCCCGCTTCCCAGGATGACACCGTCTGAAAGGTAGATGCAAAAAAACACACACACTGCAATCCTAATAACTTAGCCCTTTGAGAGAAGGAGGTCCTCCCCAAGTCCTCCTTGCAACGAGTGAGGCCAATGCTGTATTGAGGGGCCGGGAAAAAGGCTCTGCTCCCACAGAATTTATCAGAGTTCACATACTTTTCAAAGATGCCGGTCCGGGTGTCTATTTCACTACTGGTTTCCCATAATCTTAATACTTGCATGCCCATTTCTTAGACTGACAAAAAGGGATGCACCTCATAGCTGTTGGTGCAGTGCCTGAATACATCTGTAGGTGGCAATACTATTACTGAGTGCTATTGCGGTTTGAGTGTTATTTCAGATGCAGGCAAATATGCTCAGAAGGTATGAGAAGGCCTTCTGGCTTTTTGTTTTGGTCTTTTTGTTAGGGATGAGGCAGTATACTATTTAAAGCCTACAAAACAGAGTGCTGCCCCTAGATAGGTCTTCAAAAAAAAAAAGCCTAAACAGAGTTCTGTGGCACTTATTTTGCCAGCTAGACTATTTAAAAAAAATATTTTTTTTTGATTTTTTTTTTTTAATAGGAAGGGACAGAGATAGAAAGCTAGAAACATCGATGAGAGAGAAACATCGATCAGCTGCCTCCTGCGCACCTCCCACTGGGGATGTGCTCGCAACCAATGTACGTGCCCTTGACCGGAATTGAACCCGGGACCCTTTAGTCTGCAGGCTGACACTCTATCCACTGAGCCAAACCGGTTTTGGCAACCCAGACTAATTCTATAGCACTTGCATTCAGAAAAATATTTTTCCCAGAGTGCCACACCAAGAAGGGGCCCTTGGGAGCATTCTGACCACATGTTTTCAAGCTCCTTTAGGATGGCGGTGGGTTGCGTGGCCAATGCCAATGTTATTGTGACAAGCAATGTTCTTTCTTTCCTCGGTGAGCCTTCTGCCCTCTGAATACCACTTCTGGGATTGATGGTAATCGTTGCCTTCTGGTTTAAAGACTTCAGATAAGCTGTCTATAAAAAGGTGCCTAAGTAAATGTGAGATACCAGGAATGCTTGAAGTATCTTGTGTACTTTCTATACTTACGATGACGAGCTTTTCCACAAGGAAAACTAACAAATGCAAGACCTTGGCCAGCATTAGCCTTGTTTCCTTGTCGCCTGGGGAAGGAGGCACTCTTTACCGCTTCACAGAGAGGCACTTGGCGCCAGGCCCGGCTAGAGACTCAAGTCCCGGAGTCTCTCCCCACCCCCGCCTCCCTTCCCCCGGTAAGAGCAATCTGGTGGCACTGGTACCGTGGAAGGATGCCAGTGCCCCTGCCTTCTGGACATAGCAAATGCGATCAAGAGTTGGGTCACAAAACAGCAAGTGCCATTTTGTGGCACCCACCCCATGGCGGCTCATCCGCTGGAAACTCGCCAGCCTGGAATGGCTTAGAGCAGTGGTTCTCAACCTTCCTTAATGCCTCGACCCTTTAATACAGTTCCTCATGTTGTAGTGACCCCCAACCATAAAATTACTTTCGTTGCTACTTCATAACTGTAATTTTGCTACTGTTAATGGATTGTAATGTAAATATCTGTGTTTTCCGACGGTCTTAGGCTCTATAGCAGCGGTGCACAACCTGTGGACCGCTAGCAGGGTCGCCTAAGACCATCGGAAAACACAGATATTTGCATTACGCTCCATTAACAGTAGCAAAATTACAGTTATGAAGTAGCAACGAAAGTAATTTTATGGTTGGGGGTCACCACAACATGAGGCACTGTATTAAAGGGTCGAGGCATCAGGAAGGTTGAGAACCACTGGCTTAGAGCCTACTCCCTGGGCCAGAACCGCTGACCGCCCTGGGTGTGTCCTACGACCATCCAGTGCCCTGGCGCCCATCACACCGGGAGGACAGCTGTGACAAGCAAAGCATTTGGAAAGGAGCAGCTCTGGCCACTTCCCCTCCATCTAACCAGCAGGGGTTAGGTGAGCAACCCACGGGAGGAAAAGAAGGAGTTCTCCAGAGCACGCTCTTGCCCTAACTCTTAAACTTCAGACCAGGGATTCTCTAGAAAGGGCGAAACATCACCAACCTGGTCAAGTCTTCGATGTCCACCAGCATGGCGTCCTGTTCTGTGTGCAGCTCATCTCGGATGAGCAGCAGCTGAACCAGCTCTTCATTCAAGCCTGGGGCAGAGAGAAGAGAGCACTTAAAAACAGGCAGGAGGCACCCAAGTAAGTCTGCATCCAGGTCAGAATGGGTAACGATTTCTGGGCACATGTATCACAGATCCATCCATCTGTCTGTCTGTCTATCTATCTATCTATCTATCTATCTATCTATCATCTATCTATATCATTTCTGTTAAAATTTAGAATTCTTATATGAGCTTCCCATAAGCTCAGGGGAAGCCATCAATTTGAGAACATGACTAATCTGTATAATTATAAGAGTGTTGGCAGGAAAGAAGTCAAGTACAAAGGATTTCCAAAAGCATTAACATTACAGTGGGAAAATTTTTTCACTGTTAGGGAAATAGCTTGTTAGAAAAAGCGAGGTTTTGTTTGAAAAACAAAACACAAAAACGTGAGCAAAAATGCCTGGGTTTTATTACATTTTCCGCTGCGCCTGCCACACTGAGAGTCGGAGCAGCCGCCGGGCCTGACTCGGTGCCCAGCGGGAGAGGATGGTGCCTCAGGGATGCTCCCGGCTTCCCGCAGCCCAGGAAGGAGCAGCTCTGTGTGCGGGCTGCGCCCGGAAAAGCATTATCGGAAAGCCAGGGCATAAGGCCCGAGGAAATAAGCCCCAAAGTCTCTGGACAACAGGTACCAAGGCAAATATTCCTCAGGGCTTATGCTGGGAATAAGATACACGGACACATTTCTCATCTTCCTGAAGTCAGTGCACGGGTCAATCTGGCTTCTGCCTCTGAAGGGGATGAACAAGCAAGGGGCTCTCTCTTGCGTTTTCCCCTCAGTTCAGCTAAGAATCAAAGCTTGTAAGTCTGGACACATGGACACAAGGGGAGAACAACTCATTTAGCGAGAGCGCTGGGCCAGGAAACCAAATAAAGGAAGTGGGTACTTAGCCAGGTCCCCCTGGGAAATGCTTTTAGAGATCCTGACTTCAAACGATGCATTTGTCTGCCTTTAGTTCACACTAGTTTCCAATTTTAAAAAGGAAGGAAGGGAAAGAACCATACTAAGAGGTCTAAAACATCATCTGCCTCCGAAAAGGATGAGACGGCAGCTTATTAGTATTTAAAAATCCAAGGAAGATGCTGCAGTAGTAAAATACCCCTTGACAGAGTACACTCCCAGTAATTTATGCAACTGAATTAAAAAGTAGAATTTTTAAAAGTCCATTGAATCTATAGTTCTTAATTAAAATGTTAAGCTCTTTCCCTCAATTTATTTTTTATTAAAAATATTTTTTACAATGAAAGAATTTTTATGTTGATATTATTGCCAAACCCTCATGACCCCCTTGTCCACCCTCACCTCCCTCAGCCTCCCCCACACTATTGTCCCTGTCCATGAGGCATGCATATATGTTCTTTAGCTAATCCCTTCACCTGCTTTATCCAGCCACCCTACCGCCCTCCCCTCTGGCTCCTGCCAGTCTGTGCCATGTAACCATTACCCACTTGTTCATTAGATTCTACATATTAGTAACATCAGTGGAATTTGTCTTTCTCTGACTGGCTTATTTTGCAGATAAAAAAATTCTTTCTCTCTTCTTGATTTTAAAACAATACTGAATGTATTAACTTGACACTGAAGATGTCCAATTCTTTCTAATTTTTCCAGTGTGTTCTCGGGGCAGGGTTTTATGCTCGTACACAGGACAGTGCCTGCATTGTGCAAAGGAATTTTTCCCCCCATATGAAGTTTTTAACTGTTTATTATGGGAAACTCCAAACTGATACAAAAGCAAAGAGCATAGTTTAAGAATGCCCCATGCGTCCATCTAGCTTCAACTAGCCAATATTGCCTCATCTCTCTCCCTTTCTCCTAGTGAACTGCTTTAAAACAAATTCCAGACATCTTATTATTTCCTCTTAGTGCTTCAGTATATATTTCTAAAACTGGGGCTCTTTGTAAAAAAAAAATAAATAAATAAATAAATAAAATTAGCATAATCACAATATCTTCATTGTATATGAATAAATACATCTTTAATAAAACATTTAGTCAGGGTTCAATTTTCCCACTTAGCTCCTAAAAATGCTTTTTATAGTTAGTTTGTCTGAATGCATTTGGTTGGCATCTCTCTCAGGTGGCTTTATCTGTAAGTGCCACCAGATGTTCCAGAGGATTCGTGAGTCCATCTGGCCTAACCACTCTGCCCAGGAGGGCATGCTCTCTCTTCACTGGGCCAAGCAACTGACCTTCTCTGCACCTCAAGTCAGTGCGAGCCAGTGCCACTCACTCGCTACCCCTCCCCACTGCAGTTATTCTGGGGGAAACGGGCCCACATTTGATCACCCTGAATTTTCACATATTCTTACCACCTGGAGTACCGCAAATAAGTCGACTTTGATTTGATGACCCAAAATGAATGTTGAGGATATCATTTATAGCAAATGAGCTGTAACTACTAGATTGTATTCTAGAAACAGGTGTTGTTAGCCAGATACATGCCAAGTGCTTGCAATTTAAAATAAATAATAAGGAAAAATTCGTAAAATTTCTGAATATTTCTAATTAATGAAAGAGAGAGAGAGAAAGACACACACACACACACACACACACACACACGAACAAACTTGCAGGCACACCCACAGGAGGAGCCCAATGAAATGCCATAGAAAGGATCTAAGTTGAGGAAGTGGTGCTGTCCCATTGCAGTTCCCACTTGTCATTCCATTTCCAAGCACACCTTACACTTACTTTCTATCTGAGAATGGAGATCATTGACTATCACTTGTAGCTGCCCAATAGTCATGCCCCTCAGGTCAGCGGGCTTTAAACTCCTCTTCATCAAGCATTCGCTTATATGAGGCATGTGTGGCAGCTGCGGAGACAGAAGGAAAAGATGGATGTGTGAACAGAGCAGCAAGTACACTGAACCCAAGACCCAGTTTTCCCCATAAAGACCGCCCCTCTCATTCACCCATTTCAAGTTCTGGGCTTTAGAAGCTTTCCCAGTCTAACTTTCTCCAACCATCTTAGGTACACACTACAATGTCTAAAACACTATCAGCATCAAAATGCTATCCTACTCAGACCAAAAGTTTTCTGGCTCTGACACAGGCTGTGACAACCGCAGTCCATTACTCTATACACTAGTGAATTACCGGGGAGCTCAATATTGATGACATGAATGCAATCAATAATATCAGCCATGTATTAATTCATACCATGCCACAAGCACTGTGCTACGTGCTCTGACATAAGCTATTGTTTATACCCATTTAATAGATGAGGAAGCTGAGTGTTATGTAAGCTGACCAGAGCCCCACAGCAGGTCAGTGGCAGAGAAAGATTTAAACTCCGAAGTGCTGGGCTCTTGTCCACTAAGCTACACTGTCTTTGTTGAAAGGTGGGACTGAGAGCATGGCAGTAGAGTCTGCCACAACCAATGGGTTCTTAAACTGAAACTGCTTTAAAGGAATTTAAATAGTCCCATGACAGCTAATATTGTCCCTAACACACACAGTAGATCTGATTTTCAAGAGCAAAGTTTTCTTTTGTGAAATCTGCTGCTTATGCGTCGTTCAGTGATGCGGCAGAAAGGAAAAAGAAACAAACTTAAATATTTCTCAATGGCAGCATTTCTTACAGACTGCCTTGGAGAACCCCAAGTTTGCATAACTCTGGTCGAGGAGCGGGGCAGCGCCAACCCTCTGCAGCCACCGGGACTCAGAGTTTGCTACTTACTAGGTCAGCGACGGGAGACTTTTTCCTGTTCTGTTTTTCCACTTCTACTTGCATTTTGGCCATGGGTTTGGCCATGGCCAGGGCCATTTTGGCTTCAGCTTGCAACTTCTTTTGCCTGGTGAGGAAATCCATATCATCTAGGGATTCAGATTCCTCTTCAGTAGTGTCTCTATCGGAATAGGAAGAGCTCTGTTTGCTCTGCGGAGGGAAAAAGAGCAGCCCTGAGCTTTGGGTGACGGGTAGCATCTGGGGAGAAGGGCCAGAGCACCCCTGAGTCCTCCCGAGAACCCCCTCTATCCATTCAGCTTGAGCCACACGATTTGATCTGTACCAGTCTCAAGTAAAAAGGCACTTTATTGCCTCAGTGTCAATACCAGACTGTGATTTTAGCATAAAGAGTAACAGAATCCTATATAATAAAGACATCATTATATGCTAATTAGGCTGGACAGCAGAATGACCATCCGGATGACCTTCTGGATGAAGCCGGGCTATGAGGGCCGGCCAAGGCAGCTGGGGCTGCGGGGGTCAAGCCCCGTGCACAAATTTTGTGCATCAGGCCTCTAGTAAATAAACAGTAGGAGGAACAGATTTATGATACACTTGAGACATTTCTTCGATTTGGTCTCAAAAGACACAGCAACATATTTAACCCAGAGCGAAGACAGCGTGTTGCTCTCAGGAGTTGGACAGGGTCTCAGGTACCCAGGGACCAACACGGGTTCCTTGGTAAGAAAACATGATTGGCTGGTGAGAAAAGAGATGCACAGACCTCACTGAGTGGCGAGAATCCCAGCAACACGCTCCCATGATCAGAAGGTAGTCTTCATGGTACGTGTGCAAGGAATGAGTAAGGAGTACGACTCACACTTCATCCTGCTGTTTTCCCTGAGCATCATCACCTCTAGGCATCAGCTTTCCCCGGGGCCCTGCCGCCCATCCTTTTAAAACGTGTCCTACTGGTGCTTTGGGCTTATATACTTCTACACTTAGGGGGGAAGGATTGGTATGTAGCATACTGTTCTTTAAATTTTTTTAGGACACGTGCAATTTCTTTTATGATTTAATATGAAAGTAGTTGCTGCTAACTTGAACAGAGCTTATGTAGCGCTGCTGTATCGCAGGTTTGGGTTTCCAATCACTGTCCCATCCTGGGAGCATGCTACGTCAGGAAATGCCAGCACAGCACACACACTGAGCTTCGGTGGCAGCTCTGACTCACCATGGGCGACAAGGGGGTGTCCAGGCTGGTTTCAGTCTTGCTGTCATCCGCATCGCTGTCCTTGTCACTGCCGCTGTCGTTGACAAAGCAGATCTGCAGGTTCATCCCACTCTGCAGGCTGGGCAGAAGCAGACAGGACACCAATTCACTCAGCTATGTGCCATCTGGGCGCACCCAATAGAACTGTCTGGCTTTGCTAATAAAAAGCAGGACTATGTATTCTTCACATGGAGAAGTGGGTGACTGATAAGACTCTGGATTCCTCAGCAATAACATACCAGAGGATATTAATGATCCCTTGATAACTTGATAACTTGGTTAAGTGATAAAATTACAACTTTTACTAATGCCATATTACTTTTTTTCACACTCATTTCACATTAGGTGAAAAATAATTTAGGCCGCATATTAGAGCCCCCAGCACAATACCAAACACACAGTTGGTGCCCAATAAATATGTGTGAGTCACTGAGTTTATTCCCGTTGACGAAAATGATGGGGTCCTCGGCCACATGGTGTCATCTAGTGTCTTGCCCCCTGGGGACAGTCCAAGGACGCTCTCCAAGCCAGCACCCCGGCCTCAGTTCTCTGAAGACTCCTTTCTTCCTCAGCTAGACTGAAGAGGGCCAACTGAAGGAAAGTTTTAGTGAAGGCAATTGCCAAAAGCCAACCAAGGGATCTCACTTCTGTCATTAGAACACACACTGCAGTTCACCCTAAAGGTCAGTGGAGGAAAAAGGAGGACTATGTAATACTTTCAACAATAAAGATTTAAAAAACAAACAAAAAACCCCACCTGGTTCACCCTAGAGCCGTGGTCGGCAAACTGCGGCTCTCGAGCTGAATGCGGCTCTTTGGCCCCTTGAGTGTGGCTCTTCCACAAAATACCACAGCCTTGGTGAGTCTATTTTGAAGAAGTGGCATTAGAAGAAGTTTAAGTTTAAAAAATTTGGCTCTCAAAAGAGATTTCAATCGTTGTACTGTTGACATTTGGGTGTGTTGACTAATGATTTTGCCAACTGCTGGCCTAGGGGAATGTAAGGAACCCCAAACTCAGGCAGAAGCACAACCTGGGACCCAGTGGGGCTCCGCAGCCGCCTTGTGCTCTCAGCAGCGCAGGGGGGGCACTTTGGGAGCTCCCGAGGCTCCAGGCGTGGAGGTGGTGGAGATGGGGTCACAGAGGGTCACCCCGCTGTGGGTCTGCTATACCCCAGGCCAGACAGGGAATCCAGTTCTTTGTCCTAACCTCTCTTGAAGTGGGACACATTTCACTGCTGTCTGGCGATGGGGAATTTTTTTTTAAAGAAGTCATTTTCTTAGCATCCCTAGTAGCCAGGTCTGTGTGTAAGAGAAGAGAAAGAAAAGGCAAACGGGGACCTCTCGGTTGCCAGGATCGAGGGCTTATCTAAACCAACATCACTACTTCACAGGGACAAGGCAAAGAACCACTGGCCTGATGGACATTTGTATTTGATTTTTTATAAATACCAGTGGGTAGGGATGTTTAGTACACACTGCTCAGATGACTCTATAAAGTGCTTCTTTGAAAAATGATACAGAATCCAGAGACAGAAATTTACTGATTTAACAAGGCACCACCCTTGTTATATGTCTGTACTGCCACCTATTGTTCGCTTCCATCAATAGTAAAAGTCCCAGCTTATTTCCCCAGTAGGCGGGGCCTGTTCCCTTCCTCTTCCTGTGCTGCCAAGGAGAGCCAGGCCCGGGCTGGGCACAGGAGCCAGCAGGTGCTAGGTGCTGTGTGATCAGCTCAGGGTGCTTGGGTTCTGAATCCTCACTTGTCTGCGTAGGAACATTACTCTATGACCCTCGGTTTCCTCATCTGTAAAATGGGGTGAATAAGTCCGTGTCTTGTAGGAAGAATGAAGAGTTAGCTGAGAGCTGGGCACAAGGCAGGTGCTCTGTGCATGTTAACTACCCTCCTTCCTGTTCTGTCTGGAAGCCCAGAGGAACACAGAATTTTAAAAGTGGGGTGACTTTGCAAAGGGCCCTCTAAAGTCTCTTACTGAAACACCTCGCCTGAAGGCAGCTGCACTTCTATGGCCCCGGGATTTGTCTCCTTTAACTTTCTTCTAGAAAACTTTTGATTCCATATAAATCAAGTTTTAAAATTTATTGTCTATAGTTGGTAAAAACAAACAAACAAAAAAAACACGCCCAAATATCAACCCATTTTTAATAAAACCCAAGATGTATGGATTGGAAGATAATGGGAAATAAAATAGCAAATTAAAACAAACATTTAAAAGTTAAAAAAAATTAAATTAAATTAAACCTAATTTGAATCTAAGATTAGATAACACTTTCTATTTATTGAATAGCTAAAGTTTTGAAAAGAAGCATCTGGCCACGGGATACTCAGATTATAAAAATATAAAACAACCCAGAATAAATTTGCAAAATAATATTGAAAACATCTATCTATCTATCTATCTATCTATTCTGAAGAAAGTTGATCATAAATTCCATTGTTCTGCCTCCAAACTGAACTTTGTGCTAGGATCAACTCAGACCTAAATCAACCATCCCACACAGCATTTCTAACTCAAGAAAGGCAAGGGGTAAAAGGAGGGGAGGGGGGAAGGATTTAGCAGTCAGAGCAAAATGAAAAAGCACCTCAGGTAGAAATTCAGAAAATCGCCTTAGTACCATATTATCTCCATGGGAAACCGAACAGAGCTTCTTACAGGGTGAGCCTTATAATTCCTCATAGCAGTAATCACCAAGAATGTTCCTCTCAGGAAAAGGAAATTATGTGACATAACAGCTAATGGTTCAGAGGGGATTTCTGTAAAGATGTCTTAAAACGAACTCAAGTTTCAAAAAGGATTTGCTCGCCTTTAGCCTTAAAGCAGGTTTTAAGATGAAGGGGGTTCTGGGGAAATCCAACCACAGTCCCAGGCCGCGGCCAGGCTGTGGGTGAGCAGGGCCACCCACCCGGTGCTGCTGAAGGCCTCTGTGTCCAGGGTCAAGTTCGATAACCCCTGTCCTGGCCCCAGCCAGCCTGGGGAGGCATGGCTCATGCCTGCACCCTGGGGTCCCTGCTCTCCATCCCTCACATCGCAGGGCCTCCATCCAGCCTCACCCACAACCAGGCTCCACTGTCTTCAAAACCCAAGCTGCGAGGACTCTAATCTGCCTGGATCTCTCAAGCACAGTCTGAGGTGGGAACAAAACACAGCTCATCCTGCTAATTAGGGATGTGATTTAGGGTGTCCACGCTGAGGCTGCTTGATGTTTCAAGTGGCATTTGGCAGAGCACTGCCTGCAAGGCTGCCTGACTGCTGCCCCGCCTGTGGATGTTCCTTCTGAAGGATCTGCGTCCTGGTTCTCCCGGAAACCTCCTCTCCTCATGCACCACGAGGTCGTGGAAAACCACACTACTGACCAGAGCTCCCAACAGGGGGCCGAGAGCATCTGGAGAGAGCGTGTTCTGGACGGGGACCGCTCTCAAAGACGAAGGGATGAAGACTGTGCGCAGAAGTGGCTCTCGGAGCCACAGTGCCTCGGTGGGGAGTGTGAAGGCACTTATCCAGTGGAGAGACTGTTCAGCACCCACATCTGCTTGGCCTTTCCTGAGAGGAGGAGGGCTACTTGGAAAGTGCTTGTGCTGACTTCCAACCACCGCTACCAGGGAGATTACAAAAACATGCACAAAATGGGGAGGATGGTAGAGATGAGAAGTTCTCAACTACTAAGAGAATGCTTCAGAAACCTAGCCAATGGTCACAGGATTTGGAATAAAGACGATGCTTCCCCCCTCCGCTCCCGCCCCCCCCCCCCCCCCCAAAAAAAAAAATGCAAGGACAAGACCAGTTTATTTTCCTGTGACAAACAATGCAATGGTCCTAAAGTTTGCCGAATTGTGAGTTGGGCCTCGGTCCCTGGCCTTGGGTGTGGTGACTGGGACTGGGCGTCTGCAGCCAGCTCTGAACCCCAGAACTATTTGGTGTTTTTCTGATTTTAGAAATAGGAATCTGCCGGGACCGGCATGGCCACCGGCATTTTCATATATTTAAAATTCTTGGGCTTTGCCCCCTACACGACCCTTCTGTTAACTTCACATGGCTGGACAACCAACCACCTGTGGACTACAGGCAAGGTAACACCTTCTCAGAGAAGCCAACCTCCCTGCCCCGGAACTCTGACAGCCCAATTATAAACACGGTCCCAGCTCCTCCCCTCCGTAACAGGACTCTGCGGCTCCTCCCAGGCTCGGCTCCTGACTTGTGTTGGCCCACAAAATGCAGAGGAAGGGGCTTCGTCCTGGCTCCAAGCCTCCCTTCTCAGGGGACCCCGCCCCGCGTCCAGGCGAACCTGCTGGTAGATGAGTGACTTTGCAGCACAGAGTTCAATCAGCAGCTGTCCCAACTGAGCCTGGGGACACAGGACAGAGCTCAGCTCAGAGCAGTAGAGGCATCTCACCAACCCATAGCTGACTGCAGACACACGACTAAGCCCAGGCGAGCCCAGCTCTGAACAGCAGAGCTGCTCAGCTGACCTACTAGCATAAAGGCTCATAAGCCACTGATGTGGGTGGTTTATTACGTACCGTCACTGCCATCACTGTGGCAACAGATAACTGGGTGCAAGGTCACAAAGCAAGAGACTGCAAGCTGGACCTCTGGTTTTGGAACCCAATGGCTTTTCCTCCATATTACACTTGACCTTAGGTTTGGATTTATTAGACCCTGACTGTGACAGCCATGTAATTTTAAAGGGCAAATACCTCCTATAGTTGTTTATACTTTCAAGGCAATTGTACAGTTTCCTAAAGAACAGAGTGAGAGGGAACTTCCCACGTGCCTATGGATCTCAAACATGCCTTGCTCATTATATGTCCACAACCAGAGTGAGTAAGAACCATGGGCCCTGCTGTGCCATTCATTACTCAACATTCTCAACTGGTTTGTGGATGGGCAGTCAAAATATATTATTTCCATTTAGTTTAATGGATCTCTGATGCATTATTCAAAGACTTTACACATAATGAATAATCACCTACATTATTATAGCCCATCTTTTCCTCTTTCATGAGAATTTCAGAAGGGAGGAACATAAAATGTAGGTTGTAATTATCCAAGGGTAGCTGTAAAC